TACTTGGACCTGGAAACAACTATTATAGATTTACTGAAAACTAGTCGTTTTTATACTTGGACCTGGAAACAACTATTATAGATTTACTGAAAATAGTCGTTTTTAGTACTTGGACCTGGAAACAATATTATAGATTTACTGAAAATAGTCGTTTTTGTACTTGGACCTGGAAACAATATTATAGATTTACTGAAAATAGTCGTTTTTCTATTTTAAGAATTACTTGAGTAATATAAGACTATGGGCTATTTTTGCTGTGCCCATAACGGGTATCGAAACTCGATTTCTGCAGGGCGTTAAATTTCTTCACCGACAGAAGTGGTCTGAGGGATATACTGTAAAAATACCTAAAAGTTCCTTTATTTTCAAACTTATTCGTGAAGGACAAACATTACACCAATGGACTGTCACTGGAAAACAGTTAATAATTATATGATAATTAACATTTTAAAAAAGCACTTAGTTTTGAAAACACACCCATAAAAATGTACGTGACTGCCTTTCTTATATGAGATGTATTTTATTAACCTTCTCGAACGTGCTATACTAATAAAATATATTAAATAATTATGAAGATACACATAGGGCAAGATGACAATCAATTCAATTTGGACTGACGCTTACCTCTCCATCCGGGAGCTTGATGCTGATAGAAGTATCTGTGGGTTGATCGAAGCTACTCTGTGTCGAGAACGATAAACTGAGTGATCGCCTAACGTGAAGAAACCAGTCGATTAGCGGAGTTAAACTACATATTATTTACAAGTTTATAATGTTTGAATTCAGTTATAACCTCTTCTGTAAACCGTATTAATGAATTGGTTATATTATGTAATTTTAATTATTAATTTCTGACTCTGACTTTTGAGACATAACGCTACTTTATCAAATAATTGTTCTTCCGTAGGAAGTATTGATACATTAATTTTTTTTTATTTCGCGATTTAAGAAATAACGACATCAGTCATTCTTATTTAACTTGACCTTGATAACTATTACTGGATCATTACTGACCACATTGTTCATTCTGTTATGAACATTTATTTAACTCCACCTTGATAACCATTACTGGATCATTACTGACCACATTGTTCATTCTATTATAAACATTTATTTAACTCCACCTTGATAACCATTACTGGATCATTACTGA